GGGAGGGGGGAGAAAAAAGCCCACAAGAGGCAGGGAAGCTCTGCTTTGTCAGGGAGAAGAAAATAAAGAGAAATCAGCCCAGCTTCAAAGGGCGCATTTCCATAATTGCCCTGTAACTTTGGCAAAATAAATCCGAGTGGCTGAGAAGAGCACAGTCTCTCAGATGAGTGCACTCCAAAGGCCCCGAGGGCTGTGGGCCCACTTGTTAGCCGCCTAGAGCAGTGAGAGAATGCAGGACAAAAGCTATAAAATCACAGCCTTCCCGTCCTAGACAGTCAGCCCCAGAGAAAGACCTTACCCTGCCTCTGTCTCCCTCTGGCTCCCTGACATGGGACACACACGCGCGGGCACGTGTGCGCACACACACACACACACACACACACACGCACACACACACACTCCCGGGTAAAATAAGCAAGTAAATAAATAGACGCGTTTATGTGCACGGAAAGGCTGGCAGCAGTGGTGGTGATAATTCTGAGGCAAAACCACAGGAGTTAAGCTTTCATCTGTGACAATATTCCCGTAACCTGTTCCTGATATAAATACCCAGGGAGAAAGGCCCCAACTTTGCAGACACACATCCTCCTTGGGGCTGACTCTGCCCCTCTTGCCTGAGACCGGCTCACCTTCAGTGGCTCCTGGGCACCAGGCTGAGTTGAAAACCCGCTCTTTTCATTTCCCAGGCTGGCAGAGTTTCCTGTTTGCACTCCCTCACACCAACTTCCCCATTCCAGGGCCAAAAGTTTTTAAAGAACAAAAACGCCCCCCTTATTGACCTGCTTTAATGTTTCTCTCCACGAAGCTGTGGTTTCTGGGAGAAAATATCTTCCGTGATTGCCCCAGACTTTTCTCCCCTCCCTCACCTCCGTGTTTCTCAAGCTTGGCACTGTTGGCATTTTGGACGGGATAATTCTCTGTTGCAGGCGTGCCTTGCTGGACCTTTAACAGCATCCCTGCTCTCCATCCATGAGATGCTAGTAGCACCTCTAACCCAGGCATGACAACTGAAAGTGTCTCCAGACATTGCCATCTGTCCTGGAAGTGGGAAGAACACTTGGTTGAGGACCTCTCTTAGGAGCTCTTCCAGGTCTCTTGCCCTGAGTACTCATCCCTTTCACCCTCAGGAAGAGATGCCTTGTGGGGTTTTCCATCCAGACCATCAGGAGAGCCTTCGGAGGGGCTGGAGCTTCTGTTCAAAGGCGAGCAGCAGCTGCATCAAAGCTAGGTTGGTCACACAATAGATGGACACTTTCAATACGGTCAAGTTGGCTGCCTGGATCATATGACAGTGGCCAATTACGATCCAGAGGTGGTTACTAGAAAGGTTATGGGGCCTCCTTATCCCAATAATTATCTTTGGACCCACACTTCCTACATTCATGCCTAATCCTAGACAATGTTGGCTTTGTAACCTCCAAGTGGCAGATGGTGAAAGCGGGGCCTTGAGAAAGGATGAAGCTTGCCCCATTCAAGTGGGAGGTGGCTCTAACCACAGATGCAATTTTTACACACCCGCAATTGCCCATTTTCATTTGATGGAGGTAGAAGGTCCACACAACCAGGAACTATAGGATGCAAGGGACATTTCTAGAAGGATATAAATAATTAGGCCCAAAGCGAGCTCCTGACAGGAGCTCCCAACAAACCAGTGAAGATGTCAGACATCCAGCTCCTACCCAAGTATTCAATCCCTCTCTCTAACCTTCCAGAACTCAGGCCTAAGACAGCAGACCCTTTGGCCCTGCCTGCCTGCCAGGTGCCCAGAGAACAGCAGCCCAGGAGCCCTCCCTCTCCCTGCTGCTCCCCTGGGGCAGGTGAGTGGCTGGAACACCCCTTCTTCTCCCCAAAGCCTCCGCTGCCCTAGCCCTCTGGCCCTTCCATGCTGCCTTCTGATGGACCCTGCTTCCTCCTCGCTGTATTCCACCAAAAATAAATTCAACTGAAAACCATGACCGTCCTGGCCCCAGAGGTGGGCCATCACTTAGGGAGATGATTTTATTCTCCTCTGGCTCCGTGGCCCAGCAAATCAGCCCCCCTCCTCTACCTCCATGCAGATAATGAGGGAAGCGGTGACATATACTCCCTCCTCTGACCTAACTGATTATCCCCACACACCTCCGCGTGCTTTGCATAACCAGTCCCGACAGGAGGAACCCCTTCCAGGCAGAGTGACTGACATATTTTATTTCTAACTGAAGCCTAATCAGGACCAAGAATGAGATCCCCATATATTCTCTCTCTCTGCCTTTCTGTTTTTCTCTCCCTCTCTTCCCTAGCTTCCTCTTTCCTTTTAAAATTTTAGGGCCAGATAATAAAGGACAGAGACAGTTCCTAGGATCCTTGAAAGGAGGGCGTAAGGTGGGGGACTCAGGGAGGAGGTCCCAGGAGGTGGCTGAGGAATCTGTTCCTTGGTGAAATAAAAGTGGTGCAAAGAAGGGGTCTCCTCTTCCCCCTTTTAGCTGAAAAGCCTATGAGGTTCCTTTTCGTTTTGATCACATTATGTTATGGGGGTCAACTTGGGGCCATCTGAAGGGGCGATGTGTTCTATGGGATAGAGAAGATACACACATACAGGGGGTCTCTCCCAGGTGTACCTCAATTCTCCTCTGGCTTCACACATCCTGCCCTTTCGGTGGGGCACGATTGGCCTCCTCCGAGGACTAATATCCCCAGAATAGGATGGACTGAAACGCTGACCAAACCTGACAGACGACCGGACCTCTCCAAGCTGGGCCTGGCCTCTTCACACCCATCTCCCTCTGAACAGACTGACGCACGGTCTCCTCTGTTGCTGGACGGTCCGTGTGGGAAGGCTGCCTGACTTCTCTCACCTGCTCGCCCTGCTGCACTCCTCCCTGGAGAGTGTCCTTTCTCCCTGGGCTCAGCCGGGTCCTCACATGTCTGAATGCAGACACCTGGCTTTTATGGCTGATGGGAGGGGGTAGGGCAGAATACTACCGGGAGTTAGAGGAGTGGGCTTGAGATTTTTGGAATATAAAAATAAGACTAGGGCTAGCACTCCTCCTACCACATGCCAGCACTGCACATGCTTTGCCTCTCATCCTCACAACCACCATGCCAGGTAGGTGTCATCATTCCCATTTTACAGATGAGGAAATGGGGGGCAGAGCAGCTCACTGTCTGCCCGGAGTTTCCCAGGATGCAGAGAGGGGAACTCGGTCTGTGCTCTGATGAAGCTTGTGAGGCACTCACTGAAGGGCTATCAGGCTGTTGTCCATGTAAAGATACTGCTGTTGACCCGAGGCCTCTGTCCCGCCTCTGAGGTCCAAGGCCCAGGCAGTTGAAACGGGCGCCACGTCTGGGGCGCTGTGCCCAGGGTCAGAGCTGAACCACAAGTCTGTGCCTGCCACCTGGGAAGGAGCCTGAACAGAAACCTTAGACGTCTCTGGCCTCTGGGGAAGGGACTGGAAGAGCGAGTCCCATCCTTGCAACGTCTTTGCTGGGTGTGCGCTCCTGTTTCACCAGCCCCCGGTGGGCCCCAGAGGCTGCAGACAGACCCTCCTTCCCACCCGCCCCTGGGGGGCCGTCACGCCGACGGCCCCAGCCTCCGTGGGCGCTGGCGGCTGTGCCCGCATGGGTGGGTCCTTGCCGGACTCCCTCTGCTCCCGCCGAAACTCCAAGATGTACAGTATGACGCGGCGCCTCGTTCCGTGACTTCGGGTGTGCAAGCGCTCCCCAAACTTCCCGGCGCCCCGCGAGATTGTGACATGTCCCACTCTGCGGGCAAAAACCAGGCGTCTGGCCGCCCTATCAATTTACCAACTCAGCATGGGGAAGGAGATGCAAAAACGACACCCCAAGGCACCACTCTTCCAGCATCCCTACAACTTCTTTCAGTCAAAGTTGGGCAAGGCTAGCTGACTGCAAGAGAAAAAAGAGGTTGCGGAGGGGACGCGACGCCCGGCCTGGCTCGAGAGGCCGCCGAGGCAGGCGCCGAGCGGCCCTTTTGTCCTGCAGAGGGAGCTCCAGCCCCAAATTTCCCGGCTCCCTCCCCCGGCCCGACCACCCCCCTGTCCGGCCTGGAGCCGGAATCCTGGCTGGGCCGGTGCTACTGCCCGAACCCCCCGCGCCGGGGCCTCAGAAAGCTGCCCTTTCAGGGCACTTCGGCAAAACCCACTGGGATGCCAAGGCGCACATGCTGCCCGGAGCCCCAACGGGCAACGTGGGCTGGGCAAAGTCACCAAGGGGAAAGGATGTGCACCTCTGGATTCCCCGCTCCTGCATACCCCCCCAACTCACTGCCACCCCACATCCCTGCATCTATATAAGGAGTCTGGGGGGTCAATGTGGTTGGAAGGGGGCCCGAAGCGGAGCTTGCACAGCCCCTTGTGTAAGACTGAGAAAGCCTCAATTGTGCCTATTGAGGCGTCCAGATCCTTTTCCGAGTCTCTCCGCTGCGTCATCAGAGAAGGCCCCGAGGCCCCGCGGTTGCTCCAGTGGACCGGGGAGTTGGGCCCAGTTTCCCAGCTCGTCGTAGGCCATCTTGCCCCCTGTCCCACCTGTCTCCTCTGCCCTTTCTCTCGGGCGCCCCAGGCACTTCTCCAACCTTCTCTTCTCCAGCGGTGCCCCCAGCCCGGCCACTTCAGCCTCTCCTCTGCCGTCCTCCGACGACAGGGCCCTGACTCGCCTTGCCTTCTCTTGCGCTGATTCGGGCGACACTTCAAACATGGGGGGATGAGGGTGTAAAACAAAACAAAACGAAAAGCACCAAACAGATCCCTCCGGGGGCAGACAGGTGGGTTATAGTCAAAGTGGCAACAGCTCATTTATTTAGCCAAAAATAGATACTTTCTTGTACAATTTGGTTCACACATATGTACATTTTTCTGTATATACAAAAAAAGTCAAACACGCTTATTCTCACTGAAACTCCACCTCCCCCCCAAATCAACCGAACAAACCTCACAAACTCAGCTAATGTGGGGTACAGAAACCACCGGGGGAGGACTGAGGGGAGATTTGTTTTATTTCTTTTTCTTTTTTTGTTTCGTTTTCTTTTTAGGTATTCATACACGGACATGCTTACAAGTCATAACTATACAGAACGATTTTTTTTTTTACAATTATTACAACGATTTAAAAAAATTGTTTTTAAAAAGAACTAGGATGAGGAGAGAGCCGATAAGACCAGAGCGGCGTCCAGGTGGTTCTGGGGCCTGCAAGAGAGAGGCAGTGGTAGCAAAGGAAGTGAGTTAGGGGCACCGACGCTGCCTAGCATTGGGAGACCCAACCCAGGGCTGAGGCCAGGGGAAGGGAGACGTCTCAATGTGCAATGAGGTCCAGCTGTAGATGCTGGTCTTCCGGTTTAACTATAAGGTTGGGCGGGAGGCGTCAAGACCCGAGGTGCGCGGCTGGAAGGTGGTGGGGCTTCACGGAGCCACCGCCCGCTCCGAGGTACCCTGGGCCCCGCCCGGGTGCCTGGACTGGGACTCTCGAGCCATCTCTAGAGGGGCCCGTGGCGACGACGGAGGAGTGTGTTTCGTCCCCTTTCAGAAGCTCGTCCTAGCTGCGTTCCCCCGGGGGCATAAGCCTGAGTTTCCTCCGCATTCTTTCCTGCCCCCGACTGCCAGTCCCAACACCCCACCCCAGCTCGGGGTCTCTTACCGCCTGGGCACGGGCTGGAAAGCTGTCTTGAGTAACTTTTTCTCCACTTCCAAGGCACTACAACGATCTACGGGAAGCGGGAGAAAAAGGAAGGCCTTTAGATCGCTCCATTCTGGCGCCCAGGACCGCGGGAGGCGGGCGCGGAGTGGTAAGCGCCCTGCGCCCCCCGGGACCTGCCCGGGCGCGACCCCCAAACTCGCCCCCTCCCTCCGCATCCTGGGCTCCGCAGTCACCTGTTCCGCCCTCGGGCTCCGCCGGCCGAGCGAAGGCGGCGGCGGCGGCCGGGTGGCCCGCGGCTCCGGGAAGTCGCAGCAGGTGTGGAGGGGCCGAGCCCAGCAGGGAGAGGGGGTGCGGGTGCGGGCGGGGGCCGGGCGGCGGGCCTGGGAACGGCCGGTTGGTCCAAGCGGAGAACTTGCCCAGCGGCGCCGAGACGAGTCTCTGAGCCGCGGCGGCGGCGGCGGCCGGAGAGAGCTGCAGGGCTGGGGGCGCGACGGCTGCCCCGGGGGGAGAACCCCCCGCGCCCGGAGGCGAGCGGCGCGGGTTGTCCGGGCTTGTGGCGGTCTCGGCCAGGGACCAGATCTTGGGTTTTTGCAGGGCTGAGGCGGGCGCTGGTGCGGGAGCGCAGGGGTCCAGGCCTGCTGAGGGCGAGGGCGGTGATGGCGGAGTCGCGGCCACCGGCGGTTGCACTGGGGCCAGACTCAGGATAGGCAGTGGACGCTCCTCCAATCCCTCGGAACTGTCGTCGGAGTCGCTATTCTTGGAGTCTGAGATGGGTTCCAGGCCGAGGTCGCCGTCCCTGTGCGCCGCGCCAGGCAGGGCCAGCTCGGGCCCCGCGGCCGCGCCGTCTAAGTTCTCCAAATCGATCTCCTCGTCCTCCTCGTCGTCAGCCAGGCCCTCGCCCCCGGTGTCCTCCTCCTCCCCCCCGAGTTCCTCCTCCTCCAGCTCCAGTTCGCGTTTGCTGTCTTCTTCATCCTCCTCCTCGTCTTCCTCCTCTCGCTCGCTCCCGTAAGCGTTGCCCTCCTCGTCCGTGCGGCTGCGGGGCGCCCAAGTCATCTTGTTCTCTTTCTTGAGGCGCCGGCGCGCGTTGGCGAACCAGGTGGACACCTGAGTGAGAGTCATCTTGGTGATGATGGCCAGCATGATCTTCTCGCCCTTGGTGGGGTAGGGGTTCTTGCGGTGCTCGTTGAGCCAGGCCTTGAGCGTGCTAGTGCTCTCCCGGGTGGCGTTCTTGGGACGGGACGGGTCCCCGAACTGGTACTGGCCGTATGGGTAGAAGGCGGGGTGCGGGTGAGGAAACGCGGTGGCCGCGGCCGGATGCTGCACCCCCGGGCTGTCCTTCAGCTCATACTGCGTGCCCTGTACGCACAGGGAGAAGGAAGGGACACGCGCGGAGGGAGCGTGGATGAGCCCTGGCCATCGCCGCCTCCACCCTCCCGGCCCGGGCCCCTCTAGTCTACTCCCGCGCGTACACCTCGTCCGGCGCCCCAGCTCCAACCTCCCCGCTGCGGCTCCCAAGCCACTTACCAGCTGCGGGAAGATGGGCAGCTCGGCCGCGTAGGGCAGGAAGGCGCCGTAGCCTTGGGCGGCTGCGGCTGCCGCTGCCGCCGCGGCGTAAGGCGCCCCGTACACGGACGAGAGTACGTTGGACAGGGACCCCGAGGCAGCCAGCTCTGAGGCTCCGGCTCCCGGGCCGCCCCGGGCCCCAGCGCTGCCACCGCCGGCGGCGGCCCCCGGGCGCTCGGGTGGGTAGAGCGGGCGGATGTACTGGTATCCGAGCTGGGGGAAGGACATGGTGGCCCGCGGGGCACGGACGGAGAGGGGGCCCGGCCCCTGCGGCCGCCCAGCTCAGCGCCGCCCGCGGGCTGCGGCGCGCATCGGGGGCTGGGCCGGGCTGGGGCCGCGCTGCCTCCCGCGCTGCGCTGCGCTGCGCTCGGCGTTCGCCTATTGATCTGCTCCGCGGCGGCGGCGGCGGCGGAGGCAAGGAGCCAGGTCAGGTCCGAACAGATTGGCGGAGATTCCCGGGGCTCCGGGCTCTGATTGACATTTCTACGGGCCCGCAAGCCCCTCCTCTCCGCGCCGCGCTCCCTCCTCTCGGCAGCCGGAGCTGCCTCTGCCCGCGCCTCGCTCCTCACTGCCCTCCTCTCCCCGAGCTGTGTCGCGCCTCGCTTCCCTCGCCTCCTCTAGTTTTCACTCCCCCTCCTCGCCCTTCCTCTCCCCCCTCTACCAACCCCCAGGATCATTTCCGCGCCTTCGGGCTCTTTCACTTTCCTGGATGCTATGAAACTC